GTATAGATAACATCTATCTGACCCCTTCTATCAAGTGACTCACATAAATATTGGGTTAATACAGCTAAATTTGTAACAGTGGATCGCGCCGTCATAAATCCATGTTGGTTCTCAGAAATGTAGCTATGAACGTTACCATCTATACATCGATAGAGAACTTGTTCAAAAACTTTTGCAAAATTGGGAAGGATGGAGATCGGTCTATAATTACTTAACAGATGTGGGTTATCCTTTTTTAAAACTGGGATAATTCTATTTCTTTTCCAACGACCCGGAAACGAACCTGAACGTAGCGCCAAGTTTATTATTATGGCTAAAGGCTTCGCACGAACCATGAAGCTAGGGATTGAATCATCTCCAGCAGTTAGATTGTTTGAGCATTTTGCCATTATAGGGATTAGATAAATAACCCAAATAAAAGATTTGACTAAGGAACAATCAAGTTGTAAGTACATTGAGGCATGAAGAAAGACGGATCCGTTTTGCACCTTCCGCTTTCGGTCGAATATCTAAGCTTCGACATCAAACAGAGTGTTCTAAGTTTAGTAGCCCCATTTCGATAGGATTTAAAGGCAACACGAGTACCAGGTATGGAACAGACAATGAAACAATAGCGCGACGCGAAATGGAAAGTATTTTAAAAGGAAAAATTCGTCCATGTGAATTATTTATTCATCCAGTCAATATGACGGCGATAATATACTTTTGGAGATAAAATGACCATATGCGGCCAGATTCGTCACACCTGAAGAAGCCTTTAATCAAAAAAGTAGACATTGCAACAATTGTAAATAATAAATTCACACTTAAACGCAATCTCAACTATTATTATCAGATTCAAGGGCAACTCTACGTTGCTAATAAACAAAGTTGCTCCTTTGTTTTTTGGACGCCAAAGGAAATCTTAAATGAAGAAATTTACAGAGATAAAAAATTTTATACTGAAAATATGCATCAGAAATTGAACGATTTTTTTTTTCAAATATTATGTGAGCGAATTAATTATGGATGCTCACAAAAGTTAATTTTTAAAAGTAGGAGGCAGAAAGTCTTTGTTCCATATGTTTGAATTTTGAATTGTTTGTTGTCGTTATTATTGTTATTTTATCGTTTACACTGTAACTCGACTACACAAAATGTTCATTTTACATTTTGCATTATTTGTGGATGAAGAAATTGTAACAAACTTTTATGTTTTCGTATACTAATTATTCTTATAATTATTTATTAGTAGGTACATGGTACTGAAATTTTATTGAACTCTTATTCTATGAACCTATTCCACTATTTTTCTAATATTTTCTAATTTTTGTTTACCAGAAATTTTTTAGACAAAGACGTAGTAACATACGAAAAAGGATTATATGCGTACGGTAGTAATTTACAGTTTATTTTATTTTTCATAATGTACTCGTATCAAAAAATTTGTAAAAAAGTTTAAAAATCATACCACCATCATTATTTGATCCCTTAGTGTAGAAAATTCGAATCATTGCTTTTATAAATTATCATTCGGATTTACTGGTAATGTACTTGATCGGAAATCGTTTGTGTACATAAAATGAAAATGTTTCTTTCGACTTGTTTGTCGTACCGGCAATCGCGGTACCAGTTGAAGTTACAGCATTCGCCCCCTTAAGGTAGTCCATTACAATGCCATTTGCTAATCATAGTAAAACACAACTTCACAACACATACCGTAATTTTTATTTTAAGTCCAAGATGATTCAGCTCTTTCCTAAGACTTCCAAAGCTGTAACTTTGAACCTGGGGTGGGATTTTGTTTCTACCGATACGGTACGAAGCGATAAATGACAAGGATGAAAATATAAATTTCAGATACGAAAGAAAAAGACGAGCAAATTTTTTGTAGCTATTGACAAACCGATGACGTTGGTATCAAAAATTTTCTTTCATTTTTCTGCGTCTCTTTCAACTAAGTTGGGGCTATCTTTTTTGTAACTCATTGGAAGGTTTTAAGTATATCTTCCTCCTTAGAAATTTCGGTTTTTCCTGCATGCACTTTTCACCTTCGGCCTATAAGTCACATTTTGAGATTTTTTACCTTTTGTCACTAAACTAAACTGAAACTATTTTCGGAATACAATATCATTTATTGTACAATGTTCATAGCTGAACAGTGTGAGTATTTTTTTCTAACTTGTCAAAAATTATATGGACTCCCCAACAGGCTTAATCGTTAGTTCATGTACCTAAAACGCAAAAATTAAGACGAAAAACCAACAATTTATCTTTAAAGTGTAGAACCTGTACGTGTGGAGGTGTTGCCAAAACGTACAACACCGAATCCGCAATGTCTTCAGCTTTCAAAAAGGGAAGTTTTGAAATGGCTTCCTTCGCTTTTGGATCGTCACTCGTCCAATTGGCTGCCTCCATTATTTCCGTAGTAACAGCCCCAGGACTCACACTCTAATTTTATAATTTTGTTTTATTTTGATTTTAACAAAACACGTAAAATATACCTACCGTGATTTTAATTTTGAGTCCAAGATGGTTCAATTCTTGCCTCAACGTTTCTGTCAGTGCGGTAACAGCATGCTTCGATGCCGGGTACACATTCAACTTTTCAACAAATGGCACTTTATGACCGGCGATACTGTTGATGTGGACTATGTGGCCATCAATATTATTAGCTTTCATTATCTTCACGGCCTCTCTTGTCGCGATACACAGACCCAAGACATTGGTGTCGAAAATTTTCTTCCACTTTTCGGTTTCTCCTTCTGTTAGATCTGTGTTATGAATAATGCCAGCGTTGTTGATGAGAATGCTGACGGGGCCTAGGTTATCTGTAACCCACTTGAAACCTTTGAGAATGTCTTCTTCTTTAGAAATGTCGACTTTAACAGCGTGAACTTTTCCTTTTTTGCTGTTGAGCTTTTTGGCTAGTTCTTCTACGCGTTCGGAACGTCGGGCGAAACCTGCTACCTAAATTCAAAGTGATTAATAATTAGGAAGGGGAGAATTTAGTTGGTGTGTTTACCTGCAAACCTGCTTCTGCAAGTTGTTCGACGATGGCGGCTCCAATCCCGGCGCTGGCACCAGTAACGATGGCCACTTTACCTTTCCAGCGATCCATAGAAATAACCATGGTTATATAAGAGATATGTGTGTGAGCTACGCAAAGTTAAAAAAATGACTGAGTATTTGTATCTACGATAAAAATAGGATGATAACCATTAACTAATACTTTATGTTGAAGTGGGAGATACTGCCGAATCGTAACCTTGATTACTCATCATAAATTGGATATTATTTGAGAGGTTCGGGGGACTTTTGGGTACCCACGCCGCATTATTTTGGGAGCAAATGATGAGATTTTTTTTATGAATTATTTATAGCAGTTTTGAGGGACTTTTGTGTTCTTTTTTGAGAAAATTCTGACCTGACCTGCTTTTGACTTAATTTTGCGATCCCGTTTTTTTTTTTGAAAAATTAAAAAAAATATTGAGGTTCTAAGTATTTCTGTTTGAAAAGAATTTGAAAGTGCTTTAGAGCCTCCAGTGTCTTTTTTTATAATAATTTAATTAAATTTCTTAGAGGATACGTCATTTGCCAAAATCAGTCTTAACATGTACTAGCCTCACTCACACGCCCTCTCTTTTCTTAGAGGGTATGTCATTTCCCAAAATCAGTCTTATCTTAGCAGGTACCACACCACTGCATGATTGTAAAACGAGTCGTTTTTGGCGAGTTGTTACCAACAACGACTGAGATAAACACCTTATAAAATAAGAGTTTGATACGTTTTTTTATTGAAGAAATTTAACGTTTCTATTTATAAAAAATTTCAAAATAAATTTAGTATAAAATTTAAGCAAGAGTGATACTCGAAGATTATTGACTTTACACCATTCAACATATCACACAATTTGACTTTCATCTCAACGAGTTCTATTCACCAAAAACGGACTCACTAGTAGATACGTTAAAATTAATATAATCGCTTTAGAACACAATATGTTGCGATTTTGGTATATAATACTTAGTTAATGTAAATACTCATTAACATTAACATTAGGTAAACTCCAATAAAATATTGGGGTCAGGTGATTTAGATCGAACTTCTCTCGCCCTTGAAATACAGTACAACATATCCAGCTTATTCAGAAAATGATAAAATTTGGTTTTGCGAATTTTATTTTTGTTGGGATAACCTCTACAAGTTAAAATAAACGTAAAGAAGCATGCTGTGCTTATGTTCCAAGCTCACTCTTTTTCTCTCACAGGTTAAATATTTAATTCATGCACCTTTAAAAAAAATGGTAACGACTTTGTGAAGAATATTGTTTAATTTTATAATGCATACGAGGTGGCGTCGACAGAGCATACAATACAGAGTCAGCTATATCTTCTGATGTCAATTTTAGAATTTTGTTTACCATTTCCATTAGTTACTTACTCATAACCATAACCAAAACGTTGTTTTCAGCCATTGGAGTGCTAACCGCTCCAAGACTAACACTCTACAATTTGTAGCCACTGAAAATTACAATAATAATTTCCGAAAAACTTACCATGATTTTAATTTTGAGACCCAATAATGGTTTAATTCCTGCCGCAGAGTTTCAGTCAAAGCTGTCACTGCGTGTTTTAACGTTGGATAAATGTTCATACCAGGAATATTTAACACAGAATGAACCGCAATGTCCATCAATATTGTTAGCCTCCATGATTTTCACAGCTAATTTTATCACTTAGGTAGATAAGAGTGTGCTGATTTTATGAAAATAAGGAAATCATTTTTAAGAAGTAGGGAGTACAATATTTCAAAGATTCTTTCCAATCATTTTAACAGCAATTAAAAAACATATAATATATATATTTTGTTTTTGGTCAAATGACCAAATTTTCTTCCTTGGAAATGTCGGCTTTTACGGCATGCAGCTTTCACCTTTTCTCTACAAGTCACTCATTTTGAGCTTTTTTAGCTTTTGCCTTCACACTCTATCAATATAAACTAAACCAAATTGAAACTATTTATGGAATACATTATTATTTATTGTACAATGTGTATAACTGAACATTGAAACTATTGTGTGTGCTTTTTTTCTAACTTGTCAACAATTATACGGGTTCCCCAACAGGCTTAATCATTAGTTCATGTACCTAAAATGCAAAAATTAAGGCGAAAAAGCAACAATTTATGTTTAAAGTGTCGAACCTGTACGTGTGGAGGCGTTGCCAAAACGTACAACACCGAATCCGCAATATCTTCAGCCTTCAAAAATGGAAATTTTGAAATAATTTCCTTCGTTTTTGGATCGTCACTCGTATGATAACCATTAACTGCTTTATGTTGAAGTGGGGAATCATAACCTTGATTACTCATCATAAAATTCGACATTATTTGAGAGGTTGTTAAAACTGCATACGGTTACAATAATACAATCTTAGATATCAGCTACATTAACAGTGGAATTAATACCTAGATAAAAATTGCGAAATAAAAATTTAAGAACTAACCTGTGGTACATTTTTTCTTATCTTATTAATCATTTAGAAACGTTTAGTAAAGTGGTTAACACTTGCATCTGAGATTTCAGGTTTTGTTTAACATTTAAAAACTTTCTTATTAATGAATATATCGATATGACAGTAAAAGCCAAATTGAATGACAATGTAGTGATAATTATTACTAATCTCAACTTGTTAATGCCTATTAACATTGTTCATACTTTTGTAACACATCAAAAAATGCTTATTTATAGCATATAATTCATTTATAGAAATAAATCTGGTATATAGGCAGCCATGCAAGTAATTGTTGAATTTTAGCCCATCCGATCCTGTCACGTTTGATATTAAATTAAAATAGAAGATTTGTGGTAACAAGGTTATAATAAAAGTAAGAATTAAGTAAGAGCGATATCTCTGACTTTATAGGTACCATTCACCATATCATTCAATTTGACTTAAATCTCGACGACTCCTATTAAACAAAATCATCCTCACCATATTAGAATTAATATAATCTCTTTAATACACAATATGATGCGATTTTGGCCTGTACTTAGAACAACCTTTACAAGTTAAAATACATATAAATGTAGTGTTAAAGTAAACGTAAAGAAGCATGCTGTGTGCTTGTTTCATTAAGCTCTTCCTTTACAAAAATTTTGAGATGACGTCATAATTTTTTTGGGGCATGAACATAAAGATTTTGATTAACGATTTATCATGCTTACGGTAATCTGAAATCGACTGCAAGATTTCATTTCGTGTTGCAGTTTCTAAGTTAAATTGTAAAATGTTGATAGTCTCCGAAACTACTGAACCGATTGTTGTCAAATTTTGTATGTATTGTTACGTTGCAGGGGTATTTAAAATCGACGTGGGTAAACTCAACAATGTATTTATTAGTAACTCAAATTTACACGACCAATTACAAGCGATTATGTACAAAATAACTTCGGCGCAACTTGACTGAATCCATTCAGTGGACTCGACTCGTTGACAGAATTGACTGAATAATCTCTATTTAAACTCATACTTTAGTTCTAGATGTTCCGCAATCGAGATCTTTCTGAAATACCCATCGCGACTTTCGCTTTCAAGTTTTTCTTTAGCGAACGCCGCCCGGCCGCCGTCACCGACACCACACAATTTTCAATGAAGTTTAGAGTTGACATTAGATTTTTGATAAGAATGAACAGACGCATTTTATTAGAGTTTTCATGTACCTAGAATTTAACACTAATCTGTAATTTATCCATTACTTTCAAAAAATAACAAAATTGTTAACGAAAGGACAATCAGACGGAAATCAGATGTTTATCAGATGGACGTTGTTATATTTTTCCACCTGTGAATTAAAAATGAGTATAAAAACGAAGGCAAAAAATATAAATATATAATTTTTTTATTTAGTCACAATCATGAACAAAAATTTTGAAAAAAAGAAAATCTCTATTAACCTGCTTCAACTGGCTGAACTGTTTGTTCATGTAATAAAAACGGAAAACTTGTTAACCACGTTTCCCTCTTCTTTAACTAAGCATACTTTCTTTTTTGTAACTTGTCAACAGTTATACGGATTCCCCAACAGGCTTAACCGTTAGTTCATGTACCTAAAACGCAAAAATTAACACGAAAAAGCCACAATTTATGTTTAAAATGTCGAACCTGTACGTGTGGGGGCGTTGCCAGAACGTACAACACCGAATCCGCAATATCTTCAGCCTTCAAATATGGAACTTTTGACATGATTTCCTTCACTTTTGGATCGTCCTTCGTCCAATTGTCTGCCTCCATTAATTCCGTAGTAACAGCCCCAGGACTCACACTCTAATTAAAAACAAAAGTTGAATATCGACAAAACACGTCAAAAATAAACCCACTGTGATTTTAATTTTGAGTCCAAGATGGTTCAATTCTTGCCTCAACGTTTCCGTTAGTGCGGTAACAGCATACTTCGACGCCGGGTACACATTCGCCTTTTCAAAATGTGGCACTTTATGACCGGCAACACTGTTGATATGGACTATGTGGCCATCAATCTTATTAGCTTTCATTATCTTCACGGCCTCTCTTGTTGCGATACACAGGCCCAAAACATTGATATCGAAAACTTTCTTCCACTTTTCGGTATCTCCGTCTGTTAGATTTGTGTTTTGAAGGACACCAGCGCTGTTGACGAGAATGCTGACGGGGCCTAGGTTGTCTGTAACCCATTTGAAACCTTTGAGAATGTCGTCTTCTTTAGAAATATCGACTTTAACAGCGTGAACTTTCCCTTTTTTGCCGCTGAGCTTTTTGGCTAGTTCTTCTACACGTTCAGAACGTCGGGCGAAACCTGCTACCTAAATTCAAGGTGATTAATAAGTACGAAGGAGACAATTTAGTTGGTGTGTTTACCTGCAAACCTGCTTCTGCAAGTTGTTCGACGATTGCAGCGCCAATTCCGGCGCTGGCACCAGTGACGATTGCCACTTTGCCTTTCCAGCGATCCATAGAGATAACCATGATTATATAAGTGAAAGGTATGAGTTAAGCAAGGTGTAAAAATTGACTGAGTGTTCATTTCTAATTACGATATAAATAGGAGAATAACTATTTACTAGGTACTTTATGTTGAAGTGGGAGAAACTGCCCAATCATAACCTTGATTACTCATCATAAAATTACAGAGAATCTAAGCGCATTGTAAAAATTGCATGCAACACAGTAATGCAATTTATCGCGTCAAGTGCATTATCAAACAGTACTTTCAGATAAAGATGTCGAAAAAAAAAGTTTAAAAGACTACTAACAGCGTAGTATATTTTTTCTTATTTATTTATATTTTAGTAAAGTTTTAATAACGAAAGCAGATTATTATTAAAGTTGATTCGCGATTAACTTTTAATTGGGGTCCATTGCTAGGAAACGATGTGTTAACCAATCACGGGCTCATATCCTACATTTTAATTTTCTCTAAAATTAATTATTGAGGATTAAATTTTTAATTCGCTTTCTATTAGAAACTGGCCCTAAATCTGGTATTTGGTTTTGAGTTTCGGAGTCTCTAATCGCTTGCTTTGTAGTTTAGTAGCAATGTATGTAGTAATGTATTAAAAAACATATTTTAGAAGATTCATAACAATCACACGAATCCAAAGAACGAGTATAATAACGACCTTAAAAATAAGTTTCTTTAACCTATTTTTTCTTACTTTTACTTTTTTTACTTCATTGTTGATTTGTCATATGACCTACATGTCTAAACCACCGTAACGGTCCTTCTATTTTATCATTATTTTATCGAATCAATTTGTAATAATTTCTGGGAGTATGTTTCATTTCTTATCTTATCCCTATTGGTTTTATTTTCTATTTTTCTCAAGAATTTCATTTCAATTGCATTAACACGGCTTTTTTTTCTGCCGTTTTCCACGTTTCACTATTATACTCGTACATAAAAGCTGGTATTACTAATTTTTCTACTATTTCTAATTTTATTTGTTTTGGTATTTCCTTTTTACCTGTTATTGTCCACATCGTGTTCTCTTCACTTACCTAAGATTAAAAATAAGGATATAGAGTTTGACACAACCATGTTTTCTGTGTGTGTTGGTACCATATCGACATATGTTTCAAATGACACTATGAACTCGGATAATTTTGTCACTATAGATAGGAGTGTACTGATTTCATGAAATAAAGAATATACATATAAAGAAGGAAATAATTTCTAAGGTGTTGGTGAGTACAATATTTCAAAGGTTTCTTCTCAGTGCTTTTAACAGCAGGTGAAAAAAAAACGTAAATATATATATACATATATTTTTTTATTTGGTCACAATCATGAACAAAATTAATGAAAAAAAAATCTATGTTAATCTGCTCCAATTGGCTGAACCATTAGTTCATGCACCTAAAAACAAAAAACTTGTTGACTATGTTTCTCTTTTTTTTTAACTTAAACATACCTGAACGTGTGGTGGCGTAGACAGTACATAAACTACAGCGTCACCGATATCTTCAGCATCTAGTTTCGGAATTTTTTCAAACTCTTTCATCAGATTTTCGTCGACCACAAAGTTATTAGTTTGTCCCAGTTCGGAGGTGGTTATTCCGGGACTAACACTCTAAAATATCATTAGCTAATCGTACTAAACCACAACTTGACAACTCGTACCGTAATTTTTATTTTAAGTCCAAAATGATTCAACTCCTGCCTAAGAGTTTCAGTTAAAGCCGTAACGGCGTACTTTGAAGCCGGATATACATTTGCGAAGGGTTGGTAAGAAATCCTGTGAGCTAATGTGCTGTTGATGTGAATAATGTGGCCGTCAATTTTGTTTTGTTTCATGATTTTTACTGCTTCTCTTGTGGCTATTGACAAACCGATGACGTTGGTATCGATAATTTTCTTCCATTTTTCTGCGTCTCCTTCAACTAGGTTGGTTTGTTGGACTATACCGGCGTTATTGATTAAAATGTGGACCGGGCCTAAATTTTCGGTAACCCATTTGAATGCTTTGAGGATGTCTTCTTCTTTGGAAATATCGGCTTTGAAGGCATACAGTTTGCCTTTTTTGCCTGCAAGTTTTTTCGCGTGTTCTTCGACTTTTTCGGATCGCCGAGCTAGACCTACTACCTAAAAGAACAAATATTTTTACACCATAAACTACGAAGATTGTGTGATTACGTGCCACTAGACCCTCGTTCACCAGTGATTCAGCAATGGCGACACCAATTCCTACACTGGAACCAGTCACAATGGCCACTTTGCCTTTCCAACGTTCCATCGACAGTACCATGATTATATAAATGAAAGGTATGACTTAAGCAAGGTGTAAAAATTGACTGAGTTTTCATTTCTAATTACGATATAAAATGGAGAATAACTATTTACTAGGTACTTTATGTTGAAGTGGGAGATACTGCCGAATCATAACCGTGATTACTCATCAATCACCATAGAGTATCTAAGCGCATATTAAAAATTGCATCCAGACATAGTAATGCAATTTTATCGCCTCAAATACATTAGCAAACAGTGGAATAGTACATTAAGATAAAGATGCTAAGAAAAAAGTTCAAAAGACTACTTAACAACGTAGCATATATTTTTTTATTTATTTATGTTTTAGTAAAGTGTTTAACGAAATATCTATAGTAAACAAATTCAGTTATAATTATTACTGACCTGAACTTATTAATGGCAACTAGCCTTAGGTATTTAACTTCTTTGTAACATAAAAATAGTAGCAATGTAGTAGTATACTAAAAAACATATTTTATAAGATTCATTACTATCACACGAATCCAAAGAACGATAGTCCGGTCAAAATAGACATTTCAAATTACAAAAACTTCGACAGAGCTGAATTTTGGTAGAAACCTTGGGTACACCAGTAGAAATAAAGGGGCAAAAGTCCCCATAGATCCCATGTGGGCTAAAAGTTATACAAAGTCAAAAGTCAAAATTTTTGGTTTTTTGGATTTTTCTCGAAAACAGTAAGTTTTATCAAAAATATAGTTCAGACAAAAATGATGCTTATACTGTTTTTCCTAAGAATCGCCATTCCCAAGATATCGCCGTTCTAAAAGTTGAAAGAGTTACATTCCACATGATATGCACACAAATGCCACGTATATACATAGTCAGACTCTTAATATAAGTAAAAATGCCATTCGTGTCTTTTACATGTATAAAATATCTACGAACAATATAATAAATAACTAACAACAATTCTGGGAATATACACTCAAAAGAAACTCACTCCCTTAGCCAGTCCCTTCTACCATAGATTGATAAAATTATTTACTTTTTAAAACCTGGAAAGGCTCAACAGCGAACAGAAATATATTCTTCAAGAAGTTTATCTCATATTTTTTTGCCTTTTTTTCTCAATATGCATAGCCATCTTTCCACAGCAAGCAACTTAGGACATGGTTAAAATGGTAGGTACATGTTTGCAAGAAAATATGGATTTTGGAATTATGAGGCGGAGCCTAATTTTAAGTTTCATGTTGTGAAAGGAAGTCTACACATATTAAAATATAAAGGAAAAATGTAAGCCCGCCCACCCGCCCTATCTCAATTGTGATGATTTTTTTTATTCGACGTGAACCAAGGGGGCGGAACTTAACTGCAAAATACTTATTTCTTTACAAGAAATTAAAAATATTTTTTGACTATCGAGTTGTTCAAAGAAAACTATGTACATTAAGAAAAAAAGGCAAAATATAAACCCCGCCCACCCACCCCCATCTCAATTTTGATGATTTTTTTATTCGTATAAACCTAAAACACGATTAAAATGGTAATTTTTTTTAAGAAAATATGGATTTTGGAATTAGGCTCCGCCTCTAAGTCTGCTAACGAATGAAAACTTTTTTTTTCTTAATATAAATGTACATAGTATTCTTTGAATAACACGATATTGAAAAACATGTCTTACGTGGTAATTTCTTGTAGAGAAATAAGGATTTTGCAATTAAGCTCCGACCCCTTGGCTCACGACGAATAAAAAAATCATCTGAATTGAGATAGGGCGGGCGGGTGGGGCTTATATTTTTCCTTTATATTTTAATATGTGTAGACTTCCTTTCACAACATGAATTTGAAGAGTAGGAATCAGATTAAAATGTTAACAGAAATTAGAACTATAGTTTAAATCAATCAACTAAATATATCAACATCAAAATCAATAATCATCATTCAGTAAATACAGTATTTTCCAATAAAATTCCGTCATAACACTGGGGAAACCACGTTAAACTCTTCCCCCCCTGCCCCAGTACACTACCCCACAGGTGATGTGGAAATATGTGCATATCATGTAAAATGTAACTCCTTCAAGTATTAGAACGGCGATATCTTAGAAATGGTGTTTCTTAGGAAAAAAGTATAAGAACCATTTTTGTAGATAATTTTATGCTCTCTAATTTTTGTCTGAACGATATTTTTGATAAAACTTACCGTTTTCGAGAAAAATCCAAAAAACCAAAAATGTTTACTTTGACCTTGAATAACTTTTTTAGCACACATGGGATCTATCGGGACTTTTGGAACTTTATTTCTACTGGTGTATCCAAAGTCTCTACCAAAATTCTGAGTTTTTGTTATTTGATCACTATTTTTATCTCTATTTTGACCGGACTACGAGTGTCGGCGTTTACAGTATGCAGCTTTCACATTTTGAGCTTTTTTAGCTTTTACCACCACACTCTACAATGTAAACTAAACTAAATTGAAACTATTTATGGAATACATTATCATTTATTGTATATTATACAGTGTGTATAACTGAACATTGAAACTATTGTGTGTGCTTTTTTTCTAATTTGTCAACAATTATACGGGTTCCCCAACAGGCTTAGTCATTAGTTCATGTACCTAAAACGCAAAAATTAAGATGAAAAAGCATCCAGTTATGTTTAAACTGTCGAACCTGTACGTGTGGAGGCGTTGCCAAAACATACAACACCGAATCCGCAATATCTTCAGCCTTCAAAAATGGAAATTTTGAAATGATTTCCTTCATTTTTGGATCGTCACTCGTCAAACCGGCTGCGTCCAATAATTCCGTACGAACACCCCCAGGACTGACACTCTAATTAAAAAAAAGTTTAATATCGATAATGCACGCCAAAAATATACTTACTGTGATTTTAATTTTGAGTCCAAGATGGTTCAATTCTTGCCTCAACGTTTCCGTTAGTGCGGTAACAGCGTACTTCGATGCCGGGTACACATTCGCATTTTCAAACTGTGGCACTTTATGACCAGCAACACTGTTGATATGGACTATGTGGCCATCAATCTTATTAGCTTTCATTATCTTCACGGCCTCTCTTGTTGCAATACACAGACCCAAAACATTGATATCGAAAACTTTCTTCCACTTTTCGGTTTCTCCGCCTGTTAGATTTGTGTTTTGATGGACACCAGCGTTGTTGATGAGAATGCTGACGGGACCTAGGTTGTCTGTAACCCATTTGAAACCTTTCAGAATGTCTTCTTCTTTAGAAATGTCGACTTTAACAGCATGAACTTTTCCTTTTTTGCCGCTGAGCTTTTTGGCTAGTTCTTCTACACGTTCGGAACGTCGGGCGAAACCTGCTACCTAAGTTCGAGGTAATTAATAATTACGAAGGAGAGAATTTAGTTGGTGTGTTCACCTGCAAACCTGCTTCTGCAAGTTGTTCGACGATGGCGGCTCCAATTCCAGCGCTGGCACCAGTGACGATTGCTACTTTGCCTTTCCAGCGATCCATAGAGATAACCATGATTATATAAGTGAAAGGTATGAGTTAATTAAGGTGTAAAAATTGACTGAGTGTTCATTTCTAGTTACGATATAAATAGGAGAATAACTGTTAACTAAGTACTTTATGTTGAAGTGGGAGATATTGCCGAATCATAACCTTGATTACTCATCCTAAAATTATAGAGAATCTAAGCGCATTTTAAAAATTGCATTTAGACATATTAATCCAATTTTATCGCGTCAAGTGCATTAGCAAACAGTGGAATAGTACCTTCAGATAAAGATGCCGAAAAAAAAAGTTTAAAAGATTACCAACAGCGTAGTATATTTTTTCTTATTTATTTATATTTTAATGAAGTGTTTAACGAAGTGTCTGTAGTAAACAAATTTAATGATAATTATTACAGACCTCAACTTATTAATGCCAACCAGCGTTGTTTAACTTCTTTACAACATATAAAAATATACTTTTGCATAGTATATCATTCTTTTAAAGGAATCAGACCTGGTTTATAGAAAGCAGATTGTTAAAGTTGTTTGAACCAATCACGGGCTCACATCCTACATTTTAATCTTCTCTTAAATTAATTAAGGATTAAATAATATTTAATTCGCTTTCTATAAACTGGCTCTAAATCTGATATTTGGTACGAGCTTCTGAGTCTCTGACCGTTTACTTTGTACTTTAATAGCAATGTAGTAGTATATTTAAATAGTATATTAACCACGTTTGTGAAGCCAATTCTAGACCTCGCGCTTTAGAGCCCTCGACGCTGCGCGTCTCAGATTCTAATTTGCGCTCGGTCTAGAATGATTGTCTTCACAACCTTGATTAATAATATACTATTATAAGATTCATTACTATCACACGAATCCAAAAAACAACCTTAAGATTAGGTTTTTTTAACCTATTTTTTTCTTCTTATTATTTTTAATCCTATGCCTTTATACCGTTAAGTGTAAGACGGTATATTCCGTCTTCTTGCAGCTTGTCTATCACAGTCATTCTCTCCTGGTCTTCCTTTCTTGCTCTTCCCTAATACACGCGACTCATACACTTTTTTACTTCATTGTTGATTTGCCATATGGCCTACATGTCCAAACCACCTTAACTGTCCTTCTATTTTATCATTATTTTATCGAATCAATTTGTAATAATTTCTGGGAGTATGTCTCATTTTTTATCTTATCCCTATTGGTTTTATTTTCTATTTTTCTCAAGAATTTCATGTCAATTGCATTAAGGGGACTCGCTAGACGAGATATAACATTTTTTTGGTTTTTGTATGAAAATGTGATATTAATATAAATGTATCATACATCAAACTGCAGCTTTTTTTTATATTCTAGAGCGCAGAGGCCAGTTCAATCAACTAAAAAAATATGGCTGAGAAGTATCGTAAAAAAAGCACCATTGTATGTTTTCTTTTCAAGTTTTTTGAGTCATAATAACCATCATAGAATCGCTTGAAAATTCGCACATGGATAAAACATCACTTTTTACAGGGCGCAGAGTCATTAAATGTTTGTTAGAGGTACAATTTGTTTAAATAATAATGTCTTTATTAAAATCAAAATATACCACAAATTAATGCAAAATACGTCGAATAATTTTAATAGGAATAAGCAGAGGAAAATTAATGATCTATTGGTTAGCAGAGTTTTTAACAAAAACTAACAATTATTGAAAGAAATGGGTATCAATTCGACAGAATTTGAGCAGTTAGTTCAGTACTTTGCCGATAGGAGCGCCACTAAAATTTACGGATGCGACTTTTCAGGTAAAACCCTTATCGCCTGCTCTACCACAAGCTGATTGTTAGAGTTCTCGGCTGATTTTTCTAATTTATGGCAAGGAACTCAGTTTTATAACAAGCCGCCAGGACCGGCCGTAGTAATCTATTGTTAAGGAAATTAACTTTTACGCAATGAGGTACTGTCATAAAACCGAATTAAAACTGGGGAACTATAATATTTTTACTCCACTCAGGATCCTGAATTCAATACACATGATTACTAAAAATTCATTGTAATATTATTGTTAATATATATTTTGCTTTGTTAATTAATAAAACTAATAAACATATTTATCATAATAATAAAAAATATATAAAATACAGCTTTTGTTTAACACGTATAAGTAGCTAAGTGTACCTACTACTTATCCCAGAAAGGAGGTGTTTTAAAAAAGCCCTACACCCAGTAACTTCTCCCTTCATTGTTTACTCGAAAAAAGTGCTCGTATATGTTTTCATTTGCCGAGAGATCATTTAAAAATCTATTTATAATAAAAATATGCAAGTCTTGGTGATGAAAAATGTACTTCTAATAAATTATTATTAAAGTACATAAAAAAATAGAAACAAATTTTATTTATTTTACAAAAATCTCTCGCAAAGACAGGTTCCTCTTTCTTCTTGAATCAATTATTTCGGGCAATAATGCGCCAAAGTAAAACCTGCCAAGTTTATCTGACATCTTTTAACATATATTTCTTCGTCTTTATACATTTTTTCTATATTTATTCCTTTGGGTGTCCATAAAACAAAATAAACTTGTGAAATACCCGTAACAAGCATTTGTCCCTGGACTTGAAAGTAGTAATCATGATTTTTTTTTACTTTCAATTCTCTGTCTGTCAATGTACAAAATTTGATTATTTTTTTTCTAACCGCTTCTTCTGGAGACAAATCTTGCGATTTTGAAGGGCATTTAATTTCGACTAATGCACTCCTACCCTCTAGAACCCTGTCTGGACTAGCAGCCAAGTAAGGAAATTGTTTTGAAATAAAGAAGCCACACCCTTCATTTTTTATATTTTTATTTATTCAAAACACTTGACAGCTTTTTCCTCACTTTGTTGTCCATAGCATGTATGACTATTACCTCTAAATGTACTGTACAACAGAGACTCCACAGTTTTAGCTGTTGTTGTACTCGGTCTATGTTTGTAAATACGTCCAAAATTTGAAGCCGTAACCGTAATTTCTTTTTCAAAAACCTCTTTGGCTGTCACAAATGTTTCTACATCCATGTCAGAATTATCTAAAAAATATTTAAAGGGACCAGCATAAGTACATTTTTTTAAGACACATTTTTTTTACGAATACTTTGTCTAAGACGAGCTTGTTTCATAGACGAAGAATATTTTTTTGTTATTAAACCAGGACCGTTTTAATCACAGTATATTTACTTATCCCTCCTAAAAAATGGATGACGTCACCCCAAAATTTTGCTGAATAAATCCTATCTAAATTTTATAGAATATGATGAGTCTCTTCTTGTGATTTATCATTCCATTCATGTTTTTTGGATTTGCATATACAGGATGACACCAAAAATTAATGAATGCGTAAATTTATTTTATTGATTTAATCAGGAACTACAGAACCCAATGCTTTGAAATCTTGCAAATGTTTAAAGGTTATAAAGAGCATAATACATTTTTAGTCAAAATATATTTGCTTATCCCCTCCAAAAAATTGATGACGTCAGCTCAAAAATTTGCCGTATAATCCTATTTAAAATGTACAAAATATGATGAGTCTCTTCTTGTAATTTATCATTCCATTCATATTTTTTGGATTCGGATATACAGGGTGACTCAAAAAATTTAATGAATGCGCAAATTTATTTTATTGATTTAATCAGGAACTACAACTAATGCTTTGAAATCTAATGTGAAAAAAAAAACATAATAGACATGCAGTCGTCACGTTTCCGATAGCGAGGGAAGTACTGTCTAAACTCTTGTCGATTTTTTTGATTTTCCCATTTCTCCATTTCTCAATTTTTCAATGTTTCAGTTTGGGATTTTTTCACTGTTTCCATTCTTTAATTTTCCTTCCATTTTTAGGTTTTTCAATATTTCAGCTTTGGAATTTTCCAATATTTCGTTTCTTCAATTTTTCAAATTTTTGATATTGTTTTCTCGGTTTTTAAATTTTTCGATATTTTAATTTTTCAGTTTTTAAAGTTTTAGGTTTTTAGATTTCTCACTATCTCGACTTTTCGATTTTTTAGTGCCATGATTTTTCAATTTGTCGAATTTTTAAATTTTAGATTTTTGTTTTCTTTAATGTTTTGAGTTCTCGATCATTCGATTTTTTGAGTTTTCAGGCTTAGATTTTTTTTGTTGATCAATTCTTGGATTTTTAAAATTTTTGTTTTTTAAATTTTCCTATTTATCAACTTACTGGGATTTCAATGTTTTGATTTTTTGATTGTTCAATTTTTTGATTTTTTGAATTTTTAGTTTTTGATACTATTTTTTTTTAATTTTCAGTTTTTCAGTTTATTAACTTTACGATACTTCAGTTTTGCTCGATTTCGATTTCTCAATTTTTCGACATATTACTGTTGGGATTTTTCAATTTATCGATTCTTCGATTTCTCGATTCTTCATATTTTCGGTTTGTCGAATTTCTTCATTTTTCGATTTCTCAATTTTCCGATGTTTCAGTTTTACGATTTTTAATTTTTTTTTATTTTTCAGTTTTCAATTTTTTACGTTTCTAAATTTTTCGATTTCTCAATTTTTCGATTAACTGATTTTTTTATTTTCCCATTTCTATATTTCTTGATTTTTCAATTCTTGCTTCAATTGTGATTTTTCAATTTTTCGATTTCTGAATTTTTCAATATTTCAGTTTTGGATTTTTTCACTTTTCTGATTCTTCAATTTTCTTTCCATTTTTCAGTTTTTCAAGATTTCAGTTTTGAGTTTTTTTACTTTTTCGATTTTTCAATTTTCCTTCCATTTTTCAGATTTTCAGTAGGTATTTCAGTTCTGTGCTGAAGGTATGTTGTGGCAGCCTGTCATAAATTATCATTATTCTTCATTATCGGCTTACCATGTTTTTATGACCCACGTCCGGTAGTCGTCTATCCCAGCGCGTCATGTAGAGTTAAACAAGGATTGCTGGTTGCGTTTAAGGCAACAAATGGCGCCCAATTCAAACTTGTCTCTCGCCTAGCGTTCCCCCTTAACACGGCTTTTATATTTTTCTGCCGTTTTCCACGTTTCCCTATTATACTTGTACATAAAAGCTGGTCTTACTACTTTTTCTACTATGTCTAATTTTATTTGTTTCGTATTTCCTTTTTACCTGTTATTGTCCACAACGTGTTTTCTTCACTCTTTCATTTATTTTTTGATCTATTTTCCGTTACTTTGTATTATTTTTCCCCAATTTTTGTAACTCTGCAGGTGTTGTATTATTTTTGCTCGGAGCTTTATGTTACTCAATTTTTTTACCCTTTGGTTGTAACAGTTTTGGTTTTTCCGAGGTAGGTTTTTCCTCATATTTAATTATAATATTTCCTTGTTCAAGATTTCTAAATCACATTGTAACATTAGTTCACTCAGGTAGAATTGTTGCGCCTGCCGGTATCCCATTTTTAGTTTCTTTTATTCAAGTTAGATTCGTTTAGTAAAATTTGGAAACGACGTCATCAGGTTTTTGGAAGGGTTGAACAAAAATTTCCCAAAAATATTTAAAAATAAAATAAGTTAAAAATAAGGATATTCTACACTATTTTCAACTTGCCTTTATTTCATGAAGTTTTGAGATGACGCCATTAAATTTTTGGTAAGAATGAACAAACGTGTTTTGACTGGGTTTAAAAAAAAACAACAACAACAATATTTTGTTGTTATTATATAATTTTTACTTACGCCTGTGAATTAAAAATGAGTGTAAAAATCGAACGTCTTGAAATACCAATTTAAAAATTTGATTTTACAAAACTGAAGTTTTCATTAAAGCTACAAATCAAACAAATGCAATAAAACGTTATTAAATCCTTGTACATACAGTCGCAATTACATACATATCGTCGTAAATAACAGCTCACTCTTTTTCTCCCACAGGTTTAATAATTAATTCGTGCACCTTTAAAAACAAAATTGTAACAATTTTGTGAAGAACATAGCTAATTTTATAATACGTACTTGAACATGAGGTGGCGTTGACAGAGCATACAATACAGAGTCAGCTATATCTTCTGATGCCAATTTCGGCATTTTGTTTACCATTTCCATTAGGTCTTTACTCATAACCAAATCGTTGTTTTCAGCCATTGCAGTACTAACCGCTCCCGGACTAACACTCTACAATTTGTAGCCACTGAAAATTACAATAATAATTTCCAAAAAAACTTACCGTGATTTTAATTTTGAGACCCAAATGGTTCAATTCCTGCCGCAGAGTTTCAGTCAAAGCTGCCACTGCGTGTTTTGACGCTGGATAAACGTTCATACCAGGAATATTTAACACAGAATGACCCGCAATGCTGTTAATGTGGATAATATGTCCATCAATATTGTTAGCCTTCATGACTTTCACAGCTTCTCTTGTGGATACGCATAAACCGAGAACGTTAACATCGAGGACCTTTTTCCACTTTTCGGTTTCTCCATCACATAAGTTGCATTGTTGGATGATGCCTGCATTGTTTATTAAAATGTGAACAGGGCCCAAATTGTCGGACACCCATTTAAAGGCTTTTAGGATGTCTTCTTCCTTAGAAATGTCTGCTTTTATGGAGTGTAATTTTCCTTCTTTGTTCTGGAGTTTTGAGGAGAGTTGTTCTATGAGTTCGGAACGGCGGGCAAGTCCGACGACCTAAGTAAATTAACAAAGTATACTTTTGTAACTATAGTTGGAATAAATACTTGCAAACCCTCTTCTACTAGTTTTTCAGCAATGGAGGCACCAATTCCGGTACTCGCTCCGGTGACTATAGCTATTTTGCCCTTCCAGCGTTCCATTGACACAACCATGTTTTCTATGTGTTGTTGGTAGCTGTTTAGATCGACAAATGTTTCAAATGACAGTGCGAACTCGGCTAATTTTATCACTTAGATAAGAGTGTGCTGATTTTATGAAAACAAGAAAATCATTTTTAAGGAGTAGGGGAGAACAATATTTCAAAGATTCGTTCCACTGGTTTTAAGAGCAGTTAAAAAAAAACATAAATATATATATTTTTTTATTTAGTCACAATCATGAACAAACATTTTGAAAAAAAAAAGAAAATCTATATTAACCCGCTCCAACTGGCTGAACTGTTAGTTCATGCACCTAGAAACAAAAAACTTGTTGATCATGTTTCTCTTTTTTTTTTAACTTAAACATACCTGAACGTGTGGTGGCGTAGACAGTACATAAAGTACCGAGTCAGCGATATCTTCCGATTTTAGTTTCGGCATTTTTTCAAACATTTTCTTCAGATTTTCGTCGAAAACAATGTCATTAGTTTGTGCAAGTTCCGAGGTGGTTACTCCCGGACTAACACTCTAAAATGTCATTAGCTATTCGCAGTCAAACACAACTTCACAACACGTACCGTAATTTTTATTTTAAGTCCAAGATGGTTCAACTCCTGCCTAAGAGTTTCAGTTAAAGCCGTAACGGCGTACTTTGAAGCCGGATACACATTTGCAAAGGAGTGGTAAAAAATCCTGTGACCTAATGTGCTGTTGATGTGAATAATGTGACCGTCAATTTTGTTTTGTTTCATGATTTTCACTGCTTCTCTTGTGGCTATTGACAAACCGATGACGTTAGTATCGAAAATTTTCTTCCATTTTTCTGCGTCTCCTTCAACTAAGTTGGTTTGTTGGACTATACCGGCGTTGTTGATTAAAATGTGGACAGGGCCTACTTTTTTTGTAACCCATTGGAAGGCTTTAAGTATGTCTTCCTCTTTGGAAATGTCGGCTTTCACAGCATGCAATTTCCCGCTTCTGCCTATAAGTCTTTTAGCGTGTTCTTGAACTTTTTCGGATCGCCGAGCTAGACCTACTACCTAAAAGGATAAAAAATTTTACACCATAATGTACGAAGACAGTGCGATTACGTACCACTAGACCCTCATTTACCAATGTTTCAACAATGGCGGCACCAATTCCTACACTGGCACCAGTCACAATGGCCACTTTTCCCTTCCAACGTTCCATCGACAGTACCATGGTGGTTAATCTTGCTGTTTACTTCTACGTATACATAATGTCGAAAACTAGAAAATCCGTTGATTATATAATCTCTAAAAAAATGTGCTGACTTGTAATTTAACAGATAACATTTATTGATTGATAATTAGTTATTGTCCTAGATAACATTGTTTTGAAAAAAAAAGTTACAAGGTAGTTCTAACTTTAGAATAAATCAGTATAGAAACTGTTAATAAAATAATTTGCTAAGTTATACCTACTGCTGTTTAAATTCTGTAACCTTCGAACCAGAATTTTAAATAGTAGCTTACAACTTCTAAATCACCTAGGTATTACAGAAAATTGCGCAATACTTGATTGGGAAAATATCAATTAGAGTTTTATCTACCACTCAGCCGAGACATGCAAATTTAGGTGCTTGTCCTTGAAATACGTTACTTGCAAAAATGAGTTGTCTCGAATTTAAATATCCCGATCTTCAGTCTGTCGTCAATATTCGAATCCAATAAATCAACATGGTACAAAATCAAGACGGATTCATAAACCATAAACCACAAGTGTAGGAACATAAAGTAAAAGAACATGCACAAGTTGTTTGAGAATTTTGAGTGTGTCATATTTTTATTTAGTCACAATAATGAACCAAAACTTAAAAAAAAAATCTAGAAAGGATCTCCAACTGGCTTGATTATTAACTCATGTACCTGAAAACAAAAACTAAGCCACGTTTTCCTTCTTCTTCAACTGAACCATACCTGAACATGTGGTGGGGTCGACAATACATAGATCACACCGTCGGCAATATCTTCAGTTTTAACGCGCAGTCTTTTTTCCATCATTTTCTTCATATTTTCGTCAAAAACAAAATTATTAGTTCGTGCAAATTCCGACGCGGTTGGTCCCGGACTGACGCTCTACAACACCATTAGCAACAATATTCAAAGCTATAGTATCACCTACCGAAATTTTTATCTTAAGTCCAAGATGATTCAACTCTTGTCTCAGCGTTTCAGTTAAGGCCGTAACTGCGTACTTGGAAGCCGGATAGACATTTGAATACCGCTGGGACACAACTTTGTGACCTAAAGTGCTATTGATATGGATGATATGACCGTCGATTTTGTTTTCTTTCATTATTTTCACTGCTTCTCTTGTTGCGATTGACAAACCGATTACGTTAGTGTCAAAAATTTTCTTCCATTTTTCTGCGTCTCCGTCAACTAGAGTTGTCTGTTGGATAATACCAGCGTTGTTGATTAAAATGTGGACCGGGCCTAAATTTTCGGTAACCCATTTGAATGCTTTGAGGATGTCTTCTTCTTTGGAAATGTCGGCTTTGAAGGCATGCAATTTGCCATTTTTGCCTGCAAGTTTTTTCGCGTTTTCTTCAACTTGCTCGGATCGTCGAGCTAGACCTACTACCTGAATTTATAAAACTATATAAAAGCAAAATATTTTCTTTTGTACCAAGTACCTGTAAACCTTGCTCCACTAGTTGTTCAACAATGGCAGCACCAATCCCTACACTTGCACCAGTCACGATGGCCACTTTGCCCTTCCAACGTTCCATTGACAGTACCATGGTTGTTAATATTGCTGTTTACTACTACGTAAAGTACAAATAGTTGAAAGATCTACAATGCGTTAATTATATAGGTTCTTAATGAAGTTTGCTGAGTTGTTGATTAACGTGATAACGTTGTTACTATAGATAACATTGTTTATTTTTAAAATAATGTGAAACAAACCTATCTTTATATATCTCGTGTCTCCGAGTGAATAATATTTACATTTTTACGTATAAAATGAGGGTTCTGGATCCTCTTAAATTTAATTTCTTTTTTCAGTTCTAGTGTGTAAGAAGAAATAAGTGTACTAGTTTATAATAAAAGATCTATTGACATAGTTTTCCATATTTTTATTTAGCCATAACAATGACCCAAGATTTTAACAAAAATAAAAGGTCTAGTAAGGATCTCCAACTGGCTTGATTATTAATTCGTGTACCTAAAACAAAAACTTATAACCCAAGTCTCTCCTTTTCTTCAGTTGGAGTATACCTGAACATGTGGTGGCGTTGACAATACATAGATTACCCCATCGGCAATATCTTCAGTTTTAACTCGTACTCTGTCAGCCATCATTTTCTTCATATTTTCGTCGAAAACAAAATTACTAGTTCGCGAAAATTCCGACGCGGTTGGTCCCGGGCTTACGCTCTGAAACACTCCTACTAGCCAAAACTCAAATTCACAATATCACGTACCGAAACTTTTATCTTCAGTCCAAGATGATTCAATTCTTGTCTGAGGGTTTCAGTTAAAGCTGTAACGGCGTACTTTGAAGCCGGATATACGTTGGAAAACTGCTGGTACACAATTTTGTGACCCAAGGTGCTGTTGATGTGGACAATGTGACCGTCGATTTTGTTTTCTCTCATTAGTTTCACTGCTTCTCTTGTCGCTATTGATAACCCGATTACGTTAATATCAAAAATTTTCTTCCACATTTCTGTGTCGCCTTCAACCAGGGTTGTCTGTTGGATAACTCCAGCGTTGTTGATTAAAATGTGGGGAGCGCCTAAGTTTTCGGTAACCCATTTGAATGCTTTGAGGATGTCTTCTTCTTTGGAAATGTCGGCTTTGAGGGCATGGAGTTTGCCTTTTTTGCCTGCAAGCTTTTTGGCGTTTTCTTCAATTTGCTCGGATCGTCGAGCTAGACCTACTACCTAAAATGATAAATGTTCTCAAATTAGTTCAAAATTTATAGAAAAGAACAATATTTTGTAATTACGTACTTGTAAACCTTCTTCCACTAATTTTTCAACAATAGCAGCACCAATTCCTACACTGGCGCCAGTCACAATGGCCACTTTGCCCTTCCAACGTTCCATTGACAGTACCATGGTTGTTGATCTTGCTCTTTACTGCTACGCACAATATAAATTAACTGCTGAAAAGCCTAAAATGCGTTCGTAATATAAGTTCTTACTAACATTTTAGTTATTGATTAATGCGATAACGATGTTATCGCAGATAGCTGTTTATTTTTTTAGTATAATGTGGAAAAAAAGTTATCTTTAAACGTTGTTGCCTTTAGCGCACTGTTAGCCCAAGGTAAAGGTACCCAGTGTAAAATCGGGAGCGCTGACGAATATTATACTGATGGTGGGGGTAAATAAAGGTGAGCAGTAAAAGAAATATGTCAAAATCCATTAAGAAAAAGTAAAAACTACAAAAATTCAATTTAAAGAAGACGACGGAAAATTAGATCAATTTATCAGAATGATGCAGCAAATGAAAGAAGACCAAAAAGAGATGACGCTCCAGATACAGAAGATTCTGAAAGAACCGAAAACATTTAATGATGGGAGAACTAAAAGAAGAAAACAAAAGTCGGAGAAAAGAAAATGTGAAATAATAATAATAAAAGAAATAATTCGTTATCTGAAGACAGAGGGAATGAAGACACAAAAAAAGAAGGAAAAATAAGGTTATGATAAATGGGTTAACGATCAACGCAGACGATCCAGCGATGTTAGAAAATGGGATAATAAATTTCCACGAGAAGAACCGGGACGTAACGAAAAATCTATCATAAATTACCTTATAAAAGAAAGATCATCGATGTCAAGGTGAACTGAAGTGCTGTTAGAGGAAAAATCAGAACTGCTAGTAATAGTGTAAACAATGTCTAAGAAGTTAAAGTGGAAATCAAAGAAAAGAAAACTAAATCGAAAATCTATCTAAATGAAAAGAATTAGCAAGCTTATAAAACATACAATGAGGCAAAAAAAAGAGTCAAAAATATGATAAAAAACGCAAAAAACAGAAGAAAGTCTGGATGGAAAACCAAAAACTGTTCCATAGGGTATTCAGAGGTATGCGAGGGAAGAAAGGACGTACAGTAAACTCACTTGACATGCACTTTGTAAAACTTTTATGACTTAATCGGCTTAAGCCAAACCACCCTTGTCAGTCAAACTGGCTATTGTAAACTTTATGGACCCGAACCGCAAGGATTATTACTGTCCATTGTTGCCATAATGGGGCTGTGAACTGAGTTAAGTCAGTTTGACTTATAAGGGTGTTTTGACGTAAGCGGCTTAAGTCATAACAGTTTTGCAAGGTGTAAGTCAAATGAGTTTACTGTAATCCAAGACAAATTTAGCACAAAAACGATAAACTACTCAGTGAATCAAGGGAAGTCATACATAGATGGAAAGAGTATTTTTCTGAACTGCTAGAAACAGCAGCAAAAGAAAAAGAAGAAGAAGAAGAAAACGAACTAGAACAGGATATAAATGGACTAACGGAAGGCAGATCAGGGAAAATAAAGATTGAGGAAGAAAAAGAAGCTCACGACGAACAAAAAAATATATCAGAATAGAGATAGGGCGGGTGGGCGGGGCTTATATTTTGCCTTTTTTGTCTTAATATACATAGCCATCTTTTCACAACAAGAAACTTAAAACATGGTTAAAATGGTACATTTTTGCAAGGAAATATAGATTTTGCAATTTTGGGGCGGAGCCTAATTGCAAAAGCGATATTTCCTGGTACAAATTTTCCATTTTAAATATGTTTTAAATTTCTCGTTATGAAAAGAAATCTACACATATTAAAACTAGAAGGCAAAGTGTAAGCCCGCCCACCCGCCCTATCTCAATTGTGATGATTTATTTTATTCGCCGAGAACCAAGGGGGCAGAGCTTAATTGCCAAATACTTATTTCTTTACAAAGAATTAAAAATATGTTTTTGAGTACCGTGTTGTTCAAAGAATACTATGTATATTAAGAAAAAAAAATACAACCCCGCCCACCCTCCCCATCTCAATTGTGATGATTTTTTTATTTTTAGAAACTTGAAACGCGTTTAAAATGGTGAATTTTTGGAAGAAAATATGTATTTTGCAATTAGGCTCTCTTTCGTTTTTAGAAATAATTAATTTTCGGCGTTATTTGTGTAGTGTAAACTGTTTGAAGAGAAATGTTAGAAATGTTACAGTGAAAGAAAAAAATAAATAATCAAACTGTTATACACTGTTTTAACAAATTTGTTCAAAAATTCATCAGCAGATATCAAAATACACTTAAGGTCGATTTATAAAACTTGCCGCTGACGTTGCTGTTCACCGTTTTTTTTTTTAATTTAACAATTAAAGCTCCCCCCTCGGCTTACGACGAATAAAAAAAAATCATTAGAATTGAGATAGGAGATAGGGCGAGTGGGCGGGGCTTATATTTTAGCTTTTTTTTTCTTAATATACATAGCCATCTTTTCACAACAAGAAACTTAAAACGTTGTTAAAGTGGTAGATTTTTGCAAGGAAATATGTATTTTCAATTATGGGGCAGAGCTTAGTTGCAAAATCGATATCCTTATAAAAATTTTCCATTTTAAATATGTTTTAAATTTTTTGTTGCGAAAAGAAGTCTACACATATTAAAACAAGAAGGCAAAGTGTAAGCCCGCCCACCCGCCCCGTCTCAATTGTGATGATTTTTTTTATTCGCCGACAACCAAGGAGACGGAGCTTAATTGCCAAATACTTATTTCTTTACAATAAATGAAAAACATGTTTTTGAGTACTGTGTTGTTCAAAGAATACTATGTATATTAAGAAAAAAAATACAAAATATAAACCCCGCCCACCCACCCCATCTCAATTGTGATGATTTTTTTATTTTTAGAAACTTGAAACGCGTTTAAAATGGTAAATTTTTGGAAGGAAATTTAGATTTTCCAAGTAGTCTCCGCCCCCTTGGCCCATGACGAATAAAAAAATCATCACAATTGAGATCGGGCAGGTGGGCGGGGCTACATTTTGTCTATTTTCTTAATATGTGTAGACTTATTTCGACAACAACAAACTTAAAACATCTCTAAAATATAAATTAAAACTTTTTACATAATCGTGTTTACTTATTTTTGTTTAGTGAAATTTTTGACACCATCGACTACAAAGCTTCAGATCTCTTCTGTATATTACAATGCGTATATGTATGTATAGAGAATATCTAACTATAGATATTTACGAAAATCAGTTCAGTGGTTTCAAAATGTTTAATGACTAATATAAGTCAAATTATTATCATTATTAATGTAAGAGAAATATAGACCTATAGAAACTTGTTATTTTTTTATTTGGTCACAATAATGAATCAACACTTTAACATAAATTAAATATCTAGAAAGCTTCTCCAAGTGGCTTAATTATCAGCTCATGCACCTAAAACCAAAAACTTATCATCCAGATTTTCCTTTCCTTTAACTGACACATACCTGAACGTGTGGTGGCGTAGACAAAACATACATCACACCATTAGCAATATCTTCCACATTAAGTCGAACCCAATTTTTACGCGCTTTCTGCACTTTTTCATCGAAAACAATATTATTAGTTTTGGCAAGTTCCGACGCCGTTACTCCGGGACTAACACTCTAAACATTATTATTAACCAACTAAACCCAAATCTACGACATTACATACCGAAATTTTGATCTTAAGTCCGACGTGGTTCAACTCTTGCCTAAGAGTTTCAGTTAAGGCAGTAACGGCGTGCTTTGACGCCGGGTATACATTTGAAAACGGCTGATACACGATTTTGTGACCCAATGTGCTGTTGATGTGGACAATGTGACCGTCGATTTTGTTTTCTTTCATGATTTTCACTGCTTCTCTTGTTGCTATCGACAAACCGATGACGTTAGTATCGAAAATTTTCTTCCATTTTTCTGTGTCTCCTTCAACTAGGTTGGTCTGCTGGACGACACCAGCGTTGTTGACGAGAATGTGGAGAGGACCTAAGTTTTCGGTTACCCATTTGAAGGCTTTAAGGATGTCTTCTTCTTTGGAAATGTCGGCTTTGAAAGCATGGAGTTTACCCGATTTGCCTGCAAGCTTTTTTGCGTTTTCTTCGACCTGCTCGGATCGTCGAGCGAGACCTACTACCTACAATAGCAAAAATTAAAAAGCTTATTTTTTCAAAATGTATATAAAAAATATATATTACGCACCTGTAGACCTGCTTCTACCAGTTTTTCAACGATGGAAGCACCAATTCCTACACTGGCACCAGTCACAATGGCCACTTTGCCCTTCCAACGCTCCATTGACAGCACCATGGTTGTTAATCTTGTTGTTTACAGCTACGTACGGTACAAATAGTTGAGAAAGCTAATTCCGTTAATTATATAAGTTCTTAATAAAATTTGCTGAGTTGTTGATTAGCGGGATAACATTGTTACTACAGATAGCATTGTGTATTTTTTAACATAATGTGAAAAAGAATTATCTTTAAATATCACTTGTCTTAGATGTTTGTACATTTATCGATTCCCTGTTTATTTTTTTAGTATATGTCGTATTTTTGACGCCATATGATAAAAACAGGCTTATTCTCAAAATTTCAACAAGCTGTTGTGTATTTTATTATCAAATCTGACCCCTGTATATACATATTTACGTTTTTACGAAAATTATGTGGAATGTATATTAAACAAACTTGGTTTACATATAAACAATGAGGTATGCATAACAAAAGAAATTAGACGCAGAAAAACTTGCTATATTTTTATTTATACACAATAATAAAACTTTATTATCTAGAGAGCTTCTCCAACCGGTTTAATCGTCAGTTCATGTACCTACAAAAAGCATTGTTAATCTAATTTTTTCGTCTGATGAAACTTACCTGAACGTGTGGTGGTGTAGCCAATACATAGAGTACGGCTTCAGCAACATCTTCGGATTTAAGTTGTGGCCTAGTTGCAGCCGCTTTTTTCATATTTTCGTCCATAACAAAATTATTAGTTTGTCTAAGTTCTGTAGCAACCACTCCCGGACTAACACTCTAAAATACGTTTAACTGTTACATCTAAATCTGTAGTGACACCCCTTACCGTAATTTTGATCTTCAGCCCAAGATGATTGAACTCTTGCCTAAGAGTTTCAGTTAACGCCGTAACGGCATATTTTGAAGCTGGGTACACGTTTGAAAAAGCGTGGTATGCAACTTTGTGCCCCACTATACTATTAATGTGGACAATGTGACCGTCAATCTTGTTTTCTTTCATGATTTTCACCGCCTCTCTTGTGGCTACCGACAACCCGATTACATTGGTGTCAAAAATCTTTTGCCACTTTTCTGTGTCTCCTTCAACTAGGTTAGTCTGCTGGACAATACCAGCATTGTTAATTAGAATGTGGACAGGGCCTAAATTTTCTGTAACCCATTTGAATGCTTTAAGGATATCTTCTTCCTTAGAAACGTCGGCTTTAAAAGCATGCAGTTTGCCCTTTTTGCCTGTGAGCTTTTTCGCGTGTTCTTCGACTTTTTCAGATCGGCGAGCTAGACCTACGACCTAAAATGATTCTTGTTTTTAATAAGAATATAGAGGTTATGAGAAAAATACATACCTGGAGACCTTCTTCCACCAATTTTTCAACAATAGATTCACCAATTCCTACACTTGCCCCAGTCACAATGGCGACTTTGCCTCTCCAACGTTCCATTGACACGACCATGTTAATTCTGTTGTTTACCTGTGCGAGCAAGTATATAAATTAATACTGTAAAAATGCGTTAATTTATATAATTTCTGGTTAAAAGTTGCTGAGTTGTCGATTACGCGATAGTATTCTATTCAGTGTTCGTTTAGATAACATTGTTTACTTCTTAAAATAACATGAAGATAGCGCCGTTTAAATATATATTATAGATATAGAGATATCCAGTTCAAAATTAGTTATAATTATAGGATAAGTAAGTATTTTTTGGGATTACGTGAGTTACACCACTGTAAAATTTTCAAAACTTTCCGAACCATGGTTCTATGTCGTGACTGTTATCTACGCGTAGTAAGTAGTTGAAGTTTTTAAAGAAACGCTAAATCATGTATTTGTACATTGCAGAAAATTGTGCAATATTGACTAAGAAGGTGTGTACTTGTTACTCATTTACATCTATAATATAATTTTATTATTAAAATTAAAACACTTATCGATCTATAGTGTATTCGTGGCAGCAAAACGAATGCAAGAACAGACACAAAGAACTACCTAAAATTTCTTAATTCGGTTACATTTCCAGTACAAATTTTTGACCACCTCTGTCAAAGTTATGACTGACGTCATCGATTTTATATAACAACTTTTAAGTAACACGTTCTTTCAAATTTTGTGTTTAAGTTGTTTTAAGTTTAATTTTTTGGGTAAAGTTTATGTAATAACTAAAAAGCGGCGAGGAGGTTTTAATTTCATAGGTCTGCATAACTTTGTTTGAACTCTAATCAAGATCGAACATTTGCATACACGACAAGTGTTCGCTGTTGATTTTCGTGCAAGTATTTTGGAATCAAAATCATTACAAACATTATCTTAAACCATACTCTATAAAAAGTGTACATTGTTAGAGTGTTTGGTTTTATTACTGTTAAAAAACTAAATCAAAATTTTGAATAGTTTTTGAAAAATGACTCGATAACAAAACAAAAAGGTTAAATAAATAAATTGGTAGGTTTTGATAACTGTGGGTATATTTCAAGGGAGACTTTCTTAACAAATCGTACTTTTTTTCTAAAACGTAGTGTACAATGTTCAAAATAAGACGAATTTATAAACTATAGTTTAATCGTCGACAAACAATAGGTAACAGACGACAGACAGACGGAAATGGAGAACCTAATTTTCATATTCGTAGTTTACGCTTATTGCAAACATACAGTTTGAAACTACCACCTACCTTCTGAAGTTAAAATTAAATTTGCATTTATTCCACGATTATATCTCCAGTTTTGATGTGACGATAATTTGACAGAATGAAAATTCTATCTAAGACAATTTTTACTTCCCGAGCGTAAGCAAAGGAAGTGTTGTAATCGAGTCCGTCGGCCCACTCTCTACTTTTACGTTTTCTCGATCTTTCATGACCCCTAGAAGACGAAGAAATAGGTCCCCCATTTCCGTCTGTCTGTTCGTCTGTCCGTCTGTCCGTCTGTCTGCCGTCCCGGATTTTTATTAGACATATAATCTCCGAAAGTACTGGACCGATTGTTACGAAATTTTGTACTTGTATTAGGAATATCATGTAGATGGTAAAACGCTAACCAAAATTTGTCTAATCATCTCCACCACTAATGCGATGACGTCACTTCAAAATTGTACATAGTAAATGGTTCTTAAATTATATAAAATAACATAGTCCTACACATGTCGTTTACGACTCCGAATTGAGTTTTTACCAGAAACGTCCAGATTTTTGGAAAAAAAAACAAAATTATAAAACAACATTTTTCAATTTAATTTTGAATCTGCTAACCCGAATGTTTTGAAATGTTGCAGATGTTTTAAGGCTCTAAAGAGCATCATAAATCTTTAGTCAAAATATATTTGGTTATCCCCTCCAAAAACTTGATGACGTCAGCTCAAAAGTTTGCCGAATAAATCCTATCTAAAATGTACAAAATATGGTGAGTCTCTTCTTGCGATATATCATTCCATTCATATTTTTTGGATTTGCATATACAGGGTGACTCAAAAAAATTAATGAATGCGCACAATTTATTTTATTGATTTACTCAGGAACTACAAAACCGAATGCTTTGAAATCTTGAAGATATTTTAAAATTATCATAAGCATGGTAAATTTTTGATCAAAATGTATTTGGTCGTCTCGCCTAAAAAATTTATGACGTCACCACAAAATTTTGCTGAATAAATCCTATCTAAAATGTACAAAATATGGTGAGTCTCTTCTTGTGATATATCATTCCATTCATATTTTTTGGATTTGCATATAAAGGTGACTCAGAAAAATTAATGAATGCATGAATTTATTTTATTGGTTTAATCAGGAATTACAGAACCGAATGCTTTGAAATCTTGGAGATGTTTTAAAGTTATTATAAGCATGGTAAATTTTTTATCAAAATGTATTTGTTCATCCCCCTAAAAAATTGATGACGTCACCCCAAAATTTTGCTGAATAAATCCTATCTAAAATGTAGAAAATATGATGAGTCTGTACTTGTGATTCATCATTCTATTCATATTTTTTACTCTTTAGACCAATTTTTTTTATTGCTTTCTCAGTATATCTTTAGACATGAAAGAAACTGAATTTTCATATTCTAAATTCCTTGTCTTATAGAGATTTGTACGTATCTTGACAATGAGTCACAGTTTTACTTATGTCTGAATTTTTGTGTAAATATCTAAAAACGTTTTAATGGAACGACGAAAAGATTATTTATTATTGATAAAATTATGCTGAGTTAACACAATAAATCTGTAGTGGCAACAATTTAGAGAAATATTTTTAGATTGCGTTTACTGCTGATAATTATATAACGCATTATCTTTATTACACAGCATTATAAACACTTTACTAAAAATAACAAAAAAAGTACATCTTCTTTGTAACTATTGTAATTCGCCTATTGGTTTAATAGTCAACTCATGGACCTAAAAATGAAAAATTAGATATTCGAAATCCTGGATGAGTCATAGCTTTACCTGAACAGTAGGTGGGGTAGAAAGGACATACAAAACGGAATCTGCAATGTCTTCGGGCTGCAGATAGGGCATACTTTTCAATAGTGCCTCAGTTTGGGCATCTATTACAAAATTGTTAGTTTGGCCCATTTCGGTACTGACCGATCCAGGACTAACACTCTAAATAAAAAAAAATAGGAGTATAAATTAAAATTAAACAGAAATCAGCAATCTTACCGTGATTTTAATTTTTAAATTAGCCTGACTTAGTTCCTGCCTCAACGACTCAGTCACAGCAGTTACAGCGTGCTTGGAAGCCGGATAGATATTCAAACCAGGAAAATCTGGAACGTTATGACCAGAAATGCTGTTGATGTGGATAATGTGACCGTCGATCTTGTTAGCTTTCATCACTCTAATAGCTTCTCTGGTAGCTACACATAGCCCTAAGATATTCGTATCAAGGACCGCCTGCCACATCTTGGTGTCTCCTTCCATCAAACTTGTTTGTTTAACGACTCCAGCGTTGTTCACGAGGATGTGAACGTGGCCTACGTGCTTTTCCACCCACTGGAACGCCTTCAAAATTTCCTTTTCCTTGGAAACGTCGGCTTTAACGGCGTGAAGTTTCCCTTTTTTGTCGTGGAGTTTCTTCGCAAGCTCTTTTACGCGTTCAGCTCGTCGAGCGAAACCGACGACCTAGAGGTAAATCGGAATTGTTGAAATAGGAAGACGATTTTGGGGGTGCTCACCTGTAAGCCTTCTTCTACAAGCTTTTGGGCAATGGCTGCACCAATTCCCGCACTGGCTCCGGTCACGATGGCCACTTTACCGACCCATATTTCCATTGATCCGTCCATGATTTGGTTTCTGCTGGGAAGGGTCGATTTTATTCTGCACCTTGATAGTTGGCTAGCAATAAATATATGACAACACTTTGAGCAATTGATTGTTATATCTTAATTGCTTGTGGATTTTTACAGATAAAAGTGACAACAAAATGTTCTAGTCACGATACTTTTCGGAATTAGTCATGATAGTTTTTGCAAGATTAAATGCAATGAAAGTGTTTGTGCTTAGGGACACAGAAATATAGCGTCAAGTAATCTTAATTGTTTATTTAAATATTTATTTATTTATTTCTGCAATAATATACACAGTGAATAATATCTTTATTTTATTTACAGTTTTTCTCCAACAGGTTTGATAATCAGCTCATGAACCTAAAACCCACGAGAATTAAATCTCAAAAACGTACTATCTGTTTGTTACCTGGACATGTGGAGGTGTAGACAACACATACATAACAGAATCAGCTATATCTTCCGATTCCAATGGCGAAACATTTCTATTCATCTCCATTACTGCAGGATCTGGCTTAAAGTTGTTAGTTTGAGCAATTTCAGTACTGACACCACCAGGACTAACACTCTAAAAACTCACAACTCAACCGACAGCGTAAAAACAACAAGACAAACCTACCGTGATCCTGATTTTAAGACCCAGATGGTTTAATTCCTGCCTTAGGGTCTCTGTTAGCGCCGTCACCGCGTGCTTGGAAGCTGGATATACGTTGACACCAGGAATATTAATCGCGGAATGGCCGGCAATGCTGTTGATGTGGATAATATGGCCATCGATCTTATTAGCTTTCATTACTTTAACAGCTTCCCTTGTAGCCACGCACAAACCAAGAACATTAGTGTCAAAAACTTTCTTCCATTTTTCGGTCTCTCCTTCAACCAAGGTGGTTTGTTGAACTATTCCTGCATTGTTAATTAGGATATGAACTGGGCCTAAATTTTTGGATGTCCAGTCGAAAGCTGCCAAAATGTCTTCTTCTTTGGTTACGTCGGCTTTGAGTGGATGAAGTTTTCCTTTTGCTCCTTCCAACTGCTTGGCGAGTTCTTCTACGCGCTCAACGCGTCTAGCCAGACCTACAACCTTTACAAATATGAGTAAGTTTTGGTGTTTTAGTGGGGGAACAGACTTGTAGGCCTTCTTGGACGAGGGCTTTAGCGATGGCTGCACCAATTCCTGCACTGGTACCTGTGATGATGGCAGTTTTGCCCTTCCAACGATCCATCGACAACACCATGTTTAAACTTTGGTTAACCGGTAGACTTGTAATGGTGAACTAGCAAAAAAAAACAAGTTAATATGTTTTGGAGGCTAGAGATAGCGAGTTATCTAATCACAGATGGTGATAGTCGTTAAGTATAACTAATTACACTCGTTGTAGGGGACCGTGGCGTCGAATGCGATTTGTTTTTGTTTAAACAATTGCCCTTACACAGGCGCTAAACTTTGTTATTTTTCTCTTTGCGCGAAATTTTATTTTTAAACCGGGACACCACAATTTAAAATGATTGGAAAAAAATTACAACTTGTTACTCACACTTTGATTAGATTCCTTCGTTTCCACGCCTAATTTGCCTTTCCCTGATAAGTTTCACAACACTTGTGATCACGTTCCCACATAGTGCTGCTACTTATAGAAAAATAAAATTCAAATTCAAATAACTATGCAATTACACTGATGCATTTCGTCAATAAATTTATTTTTATGAGGATTTTAAGTGGTTTTTAAATGTCCTGATTATGCTAACCTTGTCAATGATGCGTCAACATATTGTATACAATTTTATGTTGTCGTGGTGTCAATTCAGTGATACGCCTAGCACACTGATAAAGTGGGTTCCTTTTAGTTTTCTTTACAAATTTTGGACTAATTCATCAAATTTTCGAAAAGGATAAATACATAAGAAGACTTTGTTCGGGTTTATATCAAATATTAAAAACTAACACACATTATATTTCTTTATTTGCCGTTTTACATTGTCAACTATAAATTAAAATTTTTCTCCGATTGGTTTTATGGTCAATTCATGCACCTGAAAAAATCAAACCTAGATTTAACACCAAAACGTTATCTCCAAAATCTACCTGAACATGAGGAGCCGTGGACAACACATACAGCACCGAATCAGCAACATCTTCCGATTGTAAAAAAGGAAAATCCTTAAACTGTTCCGCCAATTTAGGATCCATTATAAACTCATTAGTCTGAACAATTTCAGTGGCCACTCCACCTGGACTCACACTCTGAAATCTCCCAAATAAGAAAATCTCTCACAAACTAACAAACCCCTTTTACCGTAATTTTAATTTTAAGCCCCAAATGGTTCAACTCTTGCCTCAGAGTTTCCGTGAGAGCCGTCACAGCATGTTTAGACGCCGGATACACGTTCATTCCCGGATAATTAGGTACACCATGACCTGCTATACTGTTGATGTGAACAATGTGGCCGTCAATTTTGTTAGCTTTCATGATTTTGACGGCTTCTCTGGTGGCAATGCACAAACCGAGGACGTTCGTGTCGAAAATTTTCTTCCATTTTTCGGTGTCGCCTTCTGTTAGATTGGTTTGTTGGATGATTCCGGCGTTGTTTATCAAGATGTGGACGGGCCCTAAATTGTCTGATACCCACTTGAAAGCTTTCAAAATATCTTCTTCTTTCGATATGTCAGTTTTTAGTGCGTAGAGTTTCCCTTTTTTACCTTCGAGTTGTTTGGCGAGTTCTTCAACGCGTTCGGAACGTCGGGCTAAACCCACCACCTTTAAAATCGTATTTTTATGGTGAGATAAAAATCGTTGTATGTTTTACCTGGAGGCCTTCTTCGACTAGCTGTTTGGCGATAGCGGCGCCAATGCCGGCACTGGCTCCGGTTACGATGGCGACTTTGCCTCTCCAGCGGTCCATTGATAACACCATTGTTAGATAACTCGTGTCTTACTGCTTTAAATTTTCACTCTAAACTGATGCGAGTGAAATTAGAGGTTCTAAATATAACCCGAGAACCTACTGAATCATGACCTTGCCTATCTTCCTCTTAACAGTTTATGTTACAAAAGAATGCACTATCATGGTGAGAAATGTGTTTATTTATGATAGCATTTTTTCTATAGACTGTGACACAAGTTTTGTATCAAATCATGTCATTTAATAGCAGATAATTTTAAGTGTTTTTATCTAGTGCATAATTGCGGTGGAGTCTTGATTCATATGAAAATTTAACAAATTTTTGTTTTTTCTTTTTCAATCTTGCACATCGTAATTTGTACTATTTTTGCCACATTGACTTAAGACAATTATCACGATCAAAATCAAAAACTTTGAAAATCGCTGCAATTATTAGTAGACGATAACAGACAAATTAAGAAAAGTTATGTCCACAACACAAACACTCTACTGTGGCGTCCCTATTTAAAATTAAATTTTGCGCCCAGAGAAACAAAAACAAAGTCGCAAAACTCCATTGAAAATTAACGTAGGCAACCATCCAAGTTACTATAATCTTAAATATTCATCCACCATGAGATAAATTTAAATTAAAATCACCGTATCATGGTTTACAAATTAACATTTTAATTCGACTGATAACGATGTCATTTAAAAATTTTTAGTAATTGTAAACTCGTGATTTCCGTCATGTGTCAAAAATATTGAAATTTAAATTTTCGATGACACACATTTTCTATTTTTTGATCCTTGAAATTAAAGATACTTTTGGCAAGTCGGTAAAAACAGTCTTCTTTTAGCTTTACAAGATAAAAAAAAATATTTGTTAAGTGGTCGCTTATAAGCCTAACTCATTTTATTTATGGTTAAAATGGGAATTAAATTCTATTTTGACAAGTGGTTCAATCTAAGATTTAAAACAAAGTAAAAGGTGGCCCCTGCCGTTTTAATCATTCATTCTTATTGACTATAAACGAAAAATTTCACGAGTTTCCATTTTTTAATTATTCGCTTTTCGATTTTTCAATTTTTGACGTCTTCAATTTTCCGAACTGCTTTTTTCAATTTTCCTTTTTTTGTTACTATTTGCTACGATAAAACTGATGTTGGCAAACGTCATATCCCCTAAGAAAATAGAGGGCGGGTGGGCGGGGCTAGTATTTGCTAAGGTAAGACTTCACAATAATAAGAGTGGTCACTGGAATGAAGAGAAACTTAGTGGGCGGGCCTACTGCTTACTTACAAAACTCTTAAGAAAAAACCTAAACTCAGCCCCGCCCACCCTCTTTCTCTGTTTGACTGACTTATTTTATTTTCTCTACAGTGGAAATTGATTTCTACTTTGACAAGCGATAGAATCTAAGATTTAAAACAAAGTCAAAAATGGTACCTCCCACCAACCCCTCCGTTTTGATCATTCATTCTTATTGGTGCTGAAGAAAGAATTTCACGAATTTTATATTTTTAATTATTCACTTTTTGATTTTTCAATTTTTTGGATGGCTTCAATTTTTGGGATTGCATTTTTTCAATTTTTCTTTTTTTGTGTTAATATTTGCTAAGATAAAACTGATTTTGGCAAATGACATATGCTCGAAGAAATGAGAGGGCGGGTGGGCGGACCAAGTACATGCTAAGATAAGACTAATTTTGGCAAATCACATACACTCTAAGAAAATAGAGGGCGGGTGGGCGGGGCTAGTATTTGCTAAGGTAAGACTGCACAATAATAAGAGTAGTCACTGGAATGAAGAGACACTTAGTGGACAGGCCTACTGCTTGCTTACAAAACTCTTAAGAAAAAACCCAAAACTTAGCCCCGCCCACCCTTTCTCTGTTTGACTGACTTATTTTATTTTCTCTACTGTGGAAATTGATTTCTACATTGACAAACGGTAGAATCTAAGATTTAAAACAAAGTCAAAAATGGTATCTCCCACCAACCCTTACTCCGTTTTGATCATTCATTCTTATTGGTGCTGAAGAAAGACTTTCTCGAGTTTTCTATTTCTAATTATTCACTTTTTGATTTTTCAATTTTTGACGTTTTCAATTTTTCGAAGTGCATTTTTTCAACTTTTCTTTCTTTTTTTTTTAGTATTTGCTAAGATAAAACTGATTTTGGCAAATGACATATCCTCGAAGAAAAGAGAGGGCGGGTGGGGGGCCTAGTGCATGCTAAGATACGACTAATTTTGGCAAATCACATACACTCTAAGAAAATAGGGGGCGGGTGGGCGGGGCTAGTATTTGCTAAAGTAAGACTGCAGAATAATAAGAGTTGTCAATGGAATGAAGAGAAACTTAGTGGGTGGGCCTACTATTTGCTTACAAGACTCTTAAGAAGAAAGCTAAAATCAGCTTTTATTATTATTATTAATAATTTAAAGAATCTAAGATTTAAAACAAAGTCAAAAATGGTACCTCCCACTAACCCCTACTCCGTTTTGATCATTCATTCTTATTGGTGCTGAAGAAAAAATTTCACGAGTTTTCTATTTCTAATTATGCACTTTTCGATTTTTCAATTTTTGACGTTTTCAATTTTTCGAACAGCATTTTTGCAATTTTCCTTTTTATTTGTTAGTATTTGCTACGATAAAACTGATTTTGGCAAATGATATATCCTCTAAAAAAAGAGAGGGCGGGTGGGCGGGCCTAGTACATGCTAGGATAAGAGTAATTGTGGCAAATGACATTGATCGTTCGATTTAAAACAAGCCAAAAGTGCTCATCCACCCGTCTGACCTCTATTTTCTTAGAGGGTAATATATATCATTTGCCAAAATCAGTCTTATCTTAACCAGCCCTGCCCACACACGCTGCTCTCATTATAACGATTTTATTTCTATTCAATTGAGATCTATCTTTCATTCGAACTAGATAAAATGAATCACTGAAATGGAGGCGGGGTGGGTGGGCGTGGTTAATTGTATGTTCTTTGGTAAAGTGCGAATGGCAACTAATACGTAGGCTGTTAAAAAAAGCTATAAGTTTATTTTTTTTCTACAGAGGCTTTATTAAGCAAGCAATAGCCCCGCCTACACACCCCCTCTACATTCCAGTGATTACTCTTAATATTGTTCGGTCGTTTATCAAAATCAGTCTTATATTGACAAATACCATAGCATTAGGTTTTTTCTACAGCCTGAATTCGAACATTTATTCTCTCATTATGCCTGTTCCTAGAGAACCGAGACTACCAAATTTTGACCGTGTTTAATACATGCCCCTCGTATTTATTTCATAGTGCTTTATTTTACGTTATAAAGGAATTTATAATCCTGTGTGGCGTAATTTAATGTTGTTGCTTGCTTTCTCGTAATTCTAGACCTCATTCAGCTATGGTTCTAAATTCTACAGATACAGTTCGCAACATTAATTAGAATAAATCAAAAGCTGACGGGTTTTTTCTGATGTCATTTGCCCTAATAGATGTTCAATTCATGGTATGACCGGAGTCCGCGTGAAATGCGCAAGCAATAGTTGGTTGTTTTGCGAAGACGGGGTATAGCGTAGAATATGCGGCAGATTTCCTGGGCACAAAGATGTGGTGTGTGTTTTACCTGGATTAAAATCACAACGTCCTCTGTAGCACGTTACTTGTCTTCACGAGTGTCAGTGATATCAGATTTTGTCAGGAAGCAAATATAAAAAAACATTCTTCTTAACATTAGAAGACATCATTGGTGATTCCAATGATTGTATTGTTTTTGTTTGTTTAAATAACCTCGGGACTTGTCAAGGTCATAAATTGTTAATAAATACATTACAAGACAATAATTAACAAAAAAAGTGTAAGAAACGTGAATGTAAAAAAAAAATAAAAAGATAGACCCAGGAAAGCATGGTAGATATTAATGATGTTAGAGTGCGAGAAGTAGGAGAGGAAAAAGGAATAACAGAGACAGAATTAAAACCGCAAAAACAGTTTTTATAACATTAGATAGTAAATAAAAAAACATTTACATAAATCAATATCATTGCATGACGATAGACTAGAAAATTTTTATGAAATATACAATAAACATCGTTCAAAATGTTGTCAGACACTTATTGCAATTCAAGTAGTAAGATTTAGAGTTACAATCGACACTATGGAAGTATCAATGAAAAGATGCAACGGTAAATTGGCTAGTGCCGAAAAACTTCTAGAAGAAGACCTGTAAATGACAAAAATTGATACAGTTAATTTGTCCCCTAAGACATTCTCGTCTCTCCGCCTTATCTTTACCTATTCATGTCGGTATGTTGGCTGACCGTAAGTATTACTGATTATTATCAGCGCATTGAAAGTGTTTGATACTTACATCGAGTGTCTGTACATCAAAAATGCATTGCTTTGTTGACTCATCTTTATAACTATCTGTATATCGTGGAGAGTATCTGCACACCTCAAGGTTTAACCACTTAAAAGAAGTACGTAAAGCGGGAATGTATGGTATGGTAAAAGTTACATCGGATTTTTGGCACCGCGAAAATATAGCCAAATTACAAGTATCAGATTCCGTCTGGCACATTTGGTGATGGATAGCTCACAATCCTTACATTTTTGCAGATTGTGTAACTGTAATTAATCCAATATCAACCCTTACAACTTAAAAGCGAGTTTATTAGTAATGTTGTTAATTCTCAAACAAAAATATTTAAAAAAATACTAGCCTCTCCTACACGATTTTATTTGAATACTGATGAAAATAAAAGCATAAGCCTTTAAATATACAAAAAACTAACCAATAACGAATTAGACAGTTTCTCCGACCGGCTTAATAGTTAATTCGTGCACCTGAAACCAAACAAAAATATAAATAACGTAAGTAATAGACAAATAAGCGACGAAATAAATTACCTGAACATGAGGTGGTGTCGATAACACGTACAACACGGAATCAGCAATATCCTCTGATTCCAGAGAATTCATTTTTTGCAGTTGTTCCGCCGTTATGCCCGAGTTGTTAGCTTCAAAAATGTCAGTACCGACAAGACCTGGGCTGACACTCTAAAAATGTAACCTGCTATCTTA